AATATTTACCCGCCTGTCTGTTGACAGTTAACCCTGAACCCCCTCGCTCCCCGGCACACATGCACACTCCTGTACGATAACACACACACACTGACATTCATGGACATGTTTAGTCAAAGTCATTTACTGCAGAAGACGTCAGTATCTTAAGTTAGATGGTGTCTGCTTTTTAAAAATTCTGCAGGTTTTGGAGCAAGGTTAGAAAATGACGCAACAGGATTGTTCATCTGGGTGGTGAGAAATCTAAATTGTGAAGTAAATAATGAGAGAATAAATTCACATGGTGCATAAGGTGGTTTTAGACTTTGTAGAGAAGGAGATAACTCGCTCTATGGGACATTCACACTCTGTTTCAGAATAACTTTTGACATAGCAGACATTCAACTCAGCATTACATGGCCGATACCAGCTGACATGAAAGAGTAATAACTGTTTTCCTGATCAGAAACGATTCCTTAAGACTTCTCCCAGGTTTTTTTTTCTTCTTCTTTAAGACATTTTCATGACCATTGTCATCTCCCTACAGCTTTCAAAAGAGAACTGATTTGTGCTTGAATCCTTTTAAATAGTTTTTGAGTTTGATTGATGGAAAATACAGAATTAATCTGCTAGGAACAGAGATTGTGCTAACCTCATTTGCTTTAACAAATACAAAGTGTTCGGTGTGGCCCGTTTTGGCCTTCCAGTTGATCACCACCGCCCCCCTTCTTTGCATCAACAGTTTTCCTCCTCAGTCGGCAGCACAGCAGTGAGCTCAGGAACACGACCAGTTTCCCGAAGTATGTTTTCTTTCAGGACGTCCTGTTGTGTTTCTGCCTTCATTCGTCCATAAAGCCTCACACAACTAGCCAGTCTGCCCACATGACTGTGCTGCTGATAGGTCAGCTGACAAGTAACCCTAAACGGAAATCTCCAATTCAGTTAGCAAAACTAAGTCTTTAACTTTGTTCATGGAAAAATCTGCTCTTTTGGAATACTACAATGGCAAAGAGGGCAAAGTTAGCATGAAACTTAAAGCCACGATCCACACCAGTTTATATTAGACTGGAATATTCTATCTCCCTCCCTCTGTGATTACTGTTTTGGATCATCGCCCAAAGATTTCACGAATATTCTTCTCCCGATCACTAACTTCCGTGTTGGACAGGCCGCAGTTTCCCAGAGTGTCGGGCTGTAAAGCAAACCCTCTGCATACTGGCTCCCCAGCTGCTTCTCTGCTTCCCTCCTCTGTCAGCACGGTGCTGAGTGAGCGGCTGGCGGTCTGTGTTTACCTTATTAATTAGCCCAGTGATCCAGAAACACTCTCCCTCTGGTAAATAGAATAACACTGAAAGGTTACTCAGGGCCGGAGGACAGAGAAAGAAAATAAGAGAAGGGGCCGAAGCCAAGGGAAGGAGGAGAACGGGAGAAAGAAAGTTGGACAGAGAGAAAGAGAGACAGAGTCTGCGATTTAAGTTTGCTTTCAGGGCATCATGAGTAGAAGTGATCAGAGAGTTGTGGAGGAAACCCGACCCGGTGGGTTGTCAACTTGCAGAATTTAGAGCCTCTGAGATCATCAGCCGACACCAGCTCTCTGTCGCTAACCGCCAAACACCTCACCACCTTCTCCGTCGCTTTCTTTACCCCCTTCATTTATTTTCATGTGAACAAGGTGTGAAAAAATCGTGGTGCCTTTCGTTTCATTTGGCTTTATTTCATAGATTACAGACAGATTGAGCCCCAAATAGAAGAAGATTGATCTCCGTTTGCCTTCTCAGCTTGACTTTTATGAGAACGGGATAAATTATTGCCGTCAACTTGATGGATTCTTGAACTGTCGCATCTATAAAAGTCTGCAGGTATGCTGTGCATCCTTCCAATTGGCTGAAATGAATTCAGATTGGAGCGTAGCAGACCAAAACTCAAAACAGACCTTCAGTAGACAAATAGATATGCCTGACAGCGCTTTTATGAATCTGTTCCAAGTATTTCCAATAACTCGGCTCCTCCATTTTGGGTCATATCTCTGTCCCGAGGTCTGCAGTTTGAGGCCATACATGGAAAGCCAAGAGACAGTGCACAGTGAGAAGAATCACATTAGCAATACAGATTTTTCCCTCGGTTACTGGTTCAAAGAGCGACAGGGAAATGTGGTTTTCATTAGGCGCCGCTGGTTTAAACCGGGTTAAAGGTCACTTTGCAAGTTGAGGGGACAAAAATCATTGTTGTGGGAAATAATTTAATATACAAACGCATGAACAGGTCTCTCAAAGCTAGAATACCAACAAACAGAGACTCTAATCTGTAGTTGTATCAAGAATTCAAAGGTTTTATTGTGATATGCGGCAACAAACAAGTTGTCATTGCAATGAAATTCATAGTTTGTGGTGTCTCTACGTAACCGAAAATACTTAGTCAGACACTCATCACTCACATCTGCTAATACATACTGAGGTAACGCACATGAATATACAGCAGCAGTGCAAACAAAGAGTTGGTAATCCTGAAAAATCCTATATTTAAAGAGCATGTGTAATATTTATAGTGCAAAAAGTTGAGATCTGCTCATACGTGCTGAAGTTGCAAAAAAGACATGTGCAGAAGAACCTGTGTACACAAAAGTGTGCAATATTGATGATGCAGAGGTCAACATGTGCAAAAACACACCGTAATGCAAGATTGTTTTAAATCAAGTCACTCGTGTGTCTTCAGAGCCGTGGCGCTGATGCTCTGTTTGTGTCTGTACAAACTCATGTTGGTGGATTGGGCTCTAAACTTGTGCCACTTGACATCTGGCTGTCATATTAATGCGCCCAGTGAAACTTTAAAAGGGATTTACTGCCGTCTCACGACCCACCCCCGCCGAGTAAAATTCCACCTCAATAGCTTTAGTTCATTTGTGCTTCCCATTACCGCTAATTATAACATTCCGCGGATTTCACTTTGACGGCAAAAACGGCCAAAATACGGCGACGGCCTCTACGGCCCCTCCGGCCATGCTGCTTAAATCACAGCACCGATGTCCAGAGTGCTGCTGACCTGATTGGCTGCAGAAAAAGGTGACCTCAGAACTCACTTCCTGCACTTCTGAGCCGTTAGAGGAGTAAATCAAGGCTGCCTTCTTTACAGCAGAGACGTGAAAATTATCTGTGACGCATGAGAAATGTGTTTCAAGTCCTTTTGGCTTTGAGTTAGGGGCTATTTAAGTAGATCATTCATCTTTCGAATGTCTTTTCTGGCACGAATTTGTCTAAAAATGTCCAGCCGAGTCCCTCCGTCCTCTGTCTGAGGAGGACTCTGGTTATTAATGGAGTCACACAGTCCTTAGACTCTCAAGTGTACTCTTTCCTCACCTTGTCTTCTTTTTGAATCAACACCACTGATTATACATTTATTTAGCATCAGGGTGTCTGATTATCTAATCTAAATTCATCAGCAAATTTCACCAAGTTAACCCTCTCAACTCCAAAACCTGCTAGCAGCTTTGAAAGGCATGTTGTCTTTAGAAAAAACTTCATTATTACACCATGTATAAGCCAGATTTATCCAACTAATCATCTGTGAGGTGGCGTTCTGTTGGGATATGTAACCAAATCTAAGCCTAAAATCGGGATGGTTGAAAAAATCAAATCGTTCAACATGTCTTATGAGACAAAAATGAAGAATTTCCTTCAAACAAACTCTAAAAACGAAAAATAAAATTGCTAAAAAATAATCAGTTTGCAGGCTGGTTAGAAAGAAAACAGAACATTCTGTGCAGCTTGGCCTAACTGAAGAGCCACTGGTGGATGGGGAGCAACAGTCACGTGTCAAAAACTTTTTGGCTGAGCTGGCCTGAAGTGCAGCCTGTGTGAAGACATTTTTGGGTTCTCTCTACTTCTAGCCATGGCTATGCTGTTTCCATAGAGGTCCATGTCTTGATTTTGCAGTGAAAAATGAACCCACAGTGAGTAGAAAGTGTGACAGGAGCAAAAAAAAAACCAAAACACCACAAACTACTTGTAGTTCAGGGGGTTAAGTTGACTTTAGGATTTAAAGAGTGTTGTTAGAACCTTTCCTGTGATATTAGAACTCTCCTCCCTCTGTATTTTCCCCTCATAGCCGCATTTCCGTCTACCCTGAACCCCCTTTTAGCCTCGATCATTTATCTCCTGCAGCCCTGCTGTGATCAGGTGGCCATATCTGATTCTCCCACTTCCTCTTCTTCCCTCCTCTTCCCCTCCAGCCGGGGCGTTTGCTGCTGCCGGCATACCGGACGCTTCCCCGCCGCTCCCAGGAGGAGCTGACGAGAAATCCAGATAGATCCTGAGCAGCTGAAGGCCTCATATGCCTGTTTGTGTGTGTGTTTGGGTCAAACCTTGTCTAGTACCAGGAAGTCTGATGAATAAGACAATCAGGTCTCACTAGTGTGTGTCTTTGACCTAGTTGTGGTGTTCATTAGAGCTCTTCATTGATTCGACTGCACCGAATACGTCACAGTGCACTCCTCCTCATGTAGGTTCACGGCTTTAGCTTCGGATCAGATTCACAAATGTTGTTGAACAGTTATTGCAGCTTTATTTGGGTTCAGGCTGATATCCTTTTCAGATTTGGTTTGGGCTCAGACAGAAATCCTTCAGGATCAGTTTGAGCCCAGCAGGAATTTTCAAGTGTGTGTCGATCTATGGCGTCTATAAACGTTAACGGGTCCGTCCTGCTTTGCCTGCGTGTGGCTCGTGTATATTAGAAACACAAGCCCTGTAAGCTTGTCTATCACATCAGAGAGGGATTTGTAAAAAGGAGCAGAGTGTTATTATAAGTTCACTGGAAAGTGGTTTTGACAGCCATGTCAGGTCTAATGTTTTCAGTGATCCGGTTACCCAAGGTGTGTGCTCGGGCTGGAAAAAGAAAAGACGGCAGATCACGAAGAAAATATGTCCGCTGTTGCTCAAAAAGTCTCTGCAAATCTGCTTTTGATTGGCTCTTGCTTTGACTTCAAAATGTAAACCTGATTTATCTCTCTCTCTCTTTTTGTTATGCAGCCCTGCAAGGCCCTTTCGATTCCCCAAAAGGTAAGACCTGCCAAAAACAGTTTCTTCTCTGTTGATGTTCTGGATTGCAAAGCCCTCCTCCTCCTCCTCCTCCTCCTCCTCCCTTTATTCCTGTCATCCATCCATCACTGCTCTTGTGCAGCCATCATTCCTCAGCAGTGAGTCACGAGAGTTATCGATGGGAGTTGTGTGCTCTGTGTACCTGGTAACCAGTAACTTGGTTCCCCTCAGTCAAATCTAGGAGACTGTTTAACAAAAGCTTTTTCAGTGCATTTATAAATGTTTAGGGGGGAAATCACAACTGTTCCAGGTTTTAAATTACAATGAGACACAGAAAACACTATTTCTAATCAAGCCAATGCTTTCTGATCTGCTTTATTTCCTTTTCTCATCTCTCTTTTAGAATTTTGGACAAATTCATCTTTATTTGAAATATGCAATCTTGTTAAACTTGGGGATTTAATGCAAAATCTTAACTTAAATTCCTGACTTTATGTCCTGCAAAGAGGCCTTTTTGTTTTTCTCTTTTACTCTCTATATATAATTGGAGGCGTAACAGTCTCAACCTTACTCACATCTTATCTCAGCTCCTGTTTTGTCCTGAATGTTTTCATTAACTCACAGTCTCCCACTTGTTTCCAGCTATGCCGAGCTGATAGCAGACTGGCCTGTGGTGGTTCTGGGGGTTTGCACGGTGCTCATCGTGATCTGTGCCCTCGTAGGCGTCCTGGTACCCGACCTGCCAGATTTCTCAGATCCGTTGCTGGTGAGTACAGAAATGTGACGCTCTCCTTTCTGGATAAATAACTAGCCTTATTCCAGACTATGAATACGAACAACGTATGGTCTGTGGACTTAATGAGGTGAATGAAACGTCTTTAACCCAGAAGGTGTGTAAAAATATTAGTGTACATAATTTTGTGAGGCAGATATTTTCCATTACACAAGGTACCAGGACTTTCACATGTTCATGAACCCACTGAATGCCAAAACCTGCCAGCAGGTTTGAAAAGCATGTTATCTTTAAAGAATATAGCCAAAATTACAGCATTTATCTGCCACAAACTGTAAAGACTGAATATAATTGTCATATTTTTACTTTTCCGACAGTCCTTGAACTAATCATGCATGGCGTGTGGTTCAATCAGGAAAAATAACCACATTTCCAAATCGCTTTATTCTACTTGTTCCATTTAAAATTCTCCAAAAATAAATTGTCTACTTTATCCTGATTCTGTAAAAAACTAGATATTCTGAGCTCTATGGCCCAACTGAGAAGCTATTAGTAACTCAGCTACGATTAACAGCCATTAGACAAAAAGCCAGAAACTATTATGGTGAACTGGGCTGAACCATGTGGTGTGCAGGCAAATAAAACATGTAAGGAAATTAAAACATCTAGTGTCAGCATATAAAGCCACCTTTTTTTTTTTTTTTCAAGTATTGGTAACATCTGTGGGCAGATGTAGAAGAATATGGATTCCAGATTGTTTCAATTTTTGAAAAACAAAAAATTAGTGAAATGTAACTTTAGGTTTTTATTTTATGATTTACACCATTATAACTGTGTTTCTGCTCAAAAGACCCTGCTGAGTTTTCTTTAACTTCCATCCAGGGGTGTATTGTTTACATAGAGGTGCAGGACTTCATATTGCCGAAGCAAAAAAAAGGCCCAGAACCTGCTTGGGGTTCAGAGGGTTAAAGAGCAGTGTCAGTCCTGTTTGGTTTGAAGGTGTGGTTCTGTTTATGTATTAGTAGTAATATTACCAGCGACAGCACACTGTGAACAAGATCCAGATGCAGAGTTTTCCTGGTGTTCTTCTGTTAGCACATCCTGGGTGGAACAAACAAACGGAATGGTGCAATGTTGTGAAGTGTCTTTTTTGTTTGTTCAGTTCAGAGAGAACATAAATTTCATGCTAAATGAATCTCTATTATCAAAACTCATTTTGCTTATTGTCGCTTGCTTTCTTTCCCAAAAGGGTTTCGAGCCGCGAGGAACTGCCATCGGCCAGCGACTCGTCACGTGGAACAACATGGTGAAGAACACCGGCTACAAAGCCACTCTGGCCAACTACCCCTTCAAATATGCAGACGAACAGGCCAAAAAGTAAGTTCTCACACATCTCTCACACTGTCCACACATGGATGTTTCTGATATTCAGTTTCTAAAAATACTGGGGACGTGTAATTATTGATTATTTTGCCTAACAGTTTAATGATAGAGACAGCAGTGTGTGACCTCACATTCAAATATCACCCAGTTGTGGGTTGATTCTCAGCTCAGACTAAAATCTGTTTGTTTTCATGACCCTGTAAACATTAAGACAATTTCTCCATCAGTTCCTCTGCACTGAAACACTAAGCGGACATTACTGTCATCACATCTGTTCAAAGTGTTGGATGTTCATCTCTGAATAATCATTTCTCTGGCTGTGTTTGGCGGCACCACATGAACATTTTCTCAGAGATCCTCAGAAATGATGTGAATATTTCAGAGTGAGGATGATTGTGTGCAGCTGGAAAGGCTTTAGAACTCTACCAGTTTAAAAGTGAGTTTTTGAATATAGACAGTGATAGTCATGGTTTGTTTTAACCACTTCAAATCAAGTTTGTGATGTACAGAAAGTTTTAAAACAACCCGGGCTAGCTCACGATTTAGGTGACAATAAAAAAATCAGCAACAAAAGCACGACAGAAGACAGAATAACAATTTCTCAGATGAATTTGTAATATAAAATATAGTTCTAACATATGTGTCAAATTTTTCTTAAACGTTTCAATGCTACTAAAAGCTCACTAAAACATATTTATTCCTTTTACTTTATTTCTAAGGGACCATATACAATATTTAACATGTTACCAGACTTAGCCTCGGGGCTAATTTTCCTCTGCACTCCGCTGGCAGGTCGTGATTAAAACTCGCCCACATTGACTCTAATCCAACTACATAATGCAAATTACACACACAAGGCACCGTAAGTATGTTAAACAAATTAGCCACCAGGATATTTGAGTACAAAGAGAAACCTACACGATGAAGAGTGAAAAAATGCACAAAGACGAGAGAGTGAGTGGTTGTCGAGTAGCTTCAGCAGATTGTTCAGTTTGGATTTAAAGCTTGTGAGGAACTACAACTCTTTATGTCATCTGGTTTCACTGAGTTTTCGCTTTGACTGGAGAAAGCTGAGACGCCAAATGCAACACAATCTCTCTCTTAATCTCTTTCTGAACAAAAGTAAACAAAGTCACGTAAAATTTTTCGCACAAAGTTGAGAAAATTCTCAAAGCTCAAACAATGATTTTTCTGCAGTTTCTCACAGTGATGAATTTGCTTTTGATCTGGATTTTTTTATGGTTTGTTTGTACAGGGATTGTATCGGTTCTGTAGCTGTTTCTTCAGCTGCCTTCCAACATGTAACACAATAACACTTGTGGGAAAGAGTCACAGCTGCAGAAAAGTGTTGGCCGCATCAACAGAAAGAGAGTTTCTTGGACTCAAACCTTAAAATTAAAATTTGGATCCGTTGTTGCACCGAGATGTCCAAATTTAGCAACTAAATCAATGTGGTAGTGTAAACTTATTGACTCCTTTCTGAAACGGAGGCTCTTGAAATGCTGCAACTATGATTTTAGAGATAAAATGGAGGCTGTACGCTTAATCTATCCGTTGTATCTTCTGCTTTGTTTCGTTTTTTTATACTCGAGGCAAACACACTAAACCTAGAGTGAGCAAGTTGATCAAATGAACTTTGACGATCCGTTCTGGAACCGAAAAACGTACTTATTTCCAACTTTATTAAACTTTAAGTCACCGTTTGTTAAACCTGCAGCAGCTGCTTTTTTCTTGTAGTGCTTTTGTCAAGTAGCAGGACTCCAAACAAAAGAAGAATATCATAATATGGCTGCTTATATGAAGCCTTACAATAGAATGGGAGCCGGAGGTTGAGGGAGGAGGAGGCTGGGGGTAACAGTGGGGGTCAGGGTCAAAGGATGCCGCTGACAGACGTGCTGAAAAGTCTGAATCCCCTCCTGAAAGAAAAGAGGAACAAAGTAGAGATTTGTCCATCCACAAGGTCATCCTCTGTCTTCTGTCGGTGGGAGTCTACTCGCTAATCAATAGCACGTTTCTGTACGACTGCATTCACTGTTGTACTTCTAAAATCCCACTTACGTCTGATTTAGAGCAAAACCTGAACCAAGGCGGGAATATTTGAGCTTATCCCCAGTTAACAGCATCTTTGTTGTTGCTTGAAAACAGAAGTCTTTGAATGACATTGACCTGCGTCCGTGCGCTTTCTAAAAACTGCGCCTCGTCTCTGCTGATCAGATAATGGATCTTCCCTCCGCGTCTGTGGCCGCCTTTGTTTTTCTTTTTTTTTTTCTTCCCGTCTCGCTCCACGCGTCTGTCTTCGGATGTAATTGTGTACTTATGCGCGTTTGTTGTACGAGAGGCCTCTGCTTCTGTCAGCAAGCTTCCCTGCTTCATCCCGTCCGTCTGTCAGCTCCCTCAGCCGCTCTGACAGCCACCTGATTACTCCGCCTTCCTGTTTCTAGCTTTAAAAAAAAAAAAAAAAAACAGAGAAGGAAGAGGGTTGTCTGACACACAATCCTCGACCGCAGCATTATTCGTACTATAGAACACACAATACATACACACTCTCCCCCCCTCCACCCGTCGGGCCTCCTGCTCAATCAGAGCCACTATTATGATTATTATAATAACGACAGCAGTATCCTCGTCCTGCAGTGAGTCATTCATCTGATTTTGGAGGGGAACGGCAGCAATTACCGCTGCTTATTTCATTACCCAGCTTCAAATCTGCTTCCTTCATTTTGTGTCACGCTGACTCCGCAGCCTCAGACACAGCAGCATCTCTGTTCTCCGTCGGATGATTTATGAAATCATTTTTTCAGACCGTCTCTCTTGGCTCTGTGTGGGTTTGGATAGATTAGAAAGGCGATGGTCTACTTTCTTCTCAAGAGGCCGTAAAATATTTCACAGATGATGTTAATGATTTGTCTAAAATTTGTTTAAGCAATCTCGCAAAGTGCTGTAAGACTGAAAAAACAAAATAAACCGAGTAATAAAATAGCAATTTGCTGCACACTGCTTTTGTAATTGAGGCCGATAAACAAAAACTGAATGCAGAGGCAGCCTTGTCAGTGTAGCTTATTGTTTAAAAAACAATAAAACCTAAATTCCCAGCTTTCAAATGTCAGTGTATTTAATGGGCCTCTCTTAATGGCATACACTATGTTTACGCCTGGGTAATTAGATTATTGTTTTAGTGAGAAATGTTAGCTCAGAATTGTAATGCAGCTGAGCTGCAAAACTCGAGGGCTTGAAAAACATTTTCAGCTCCTGTTGGTGATCAAAAAACATTTATCAGATTTGTCATTTGGGATAATTCAGGGATGTCAAGCAAGTAAATGTCAGATTTGAAAAACATAACATCTCAATGGGCTGCAAATAACAATGGTGTCGATTATTTTCTTGCTAATTTTTTCTCAGTTAATGCCGAAAAGTGCCATCCAGTGTCTCCCAAAGCCCAAGATGACCTTATCAAATGTCCTGTTTTGTCCACAACCCAAAAATATTTAGTTTACAGTCAAGAGAAAACAAGCCAGAATATATTCAGATTTAAGAAGCTGAAATTGTCCCATTTCCCCCCCCTAACATCAGTTAACTGTTGCAGCTTTTTAATATAACACCTAACACCATGGGTCTTTTCTCTTAACATTACTAGGGATCCATTAATATGTGACTAAACTGTTACATACTATAGCTATTGAAAGCCAACAATTTGTCAGACGTCTGCTGCCAAGCTCCCTAAATAATCAGCATCGACATCAGTCATTGAAGAACTCATGTGTACTGTCATCTCAGTCATTCACACGAGGTTATTCTGTATTGCTTTCTAGTCACCAAGAACCCAGGTGGCCAGAAGACCACTTTGACAGAGACAAACGACAAGCTGAGTGGGACTTCAGCAAAGAGTTCTTCTGCGATGTTCCAGGTAAGATTTTAAATGCAATAAAAGAGAGAATTCAGAAAATACCTGGACTGTCGTCAACCAAAGAAGATTTTGGGCTGCATTCCAATATCCATACTTCTGTACTATATATTGTACTAGGAAGAAAATGAATGTGTTCCAGTACATAGTTTCAAAGGTAGTATACCAAAAATACTCAAATGTCCTAGTATGGAGTAGGGATTTTGAAGTATGCAAGCCAACATGCTTTTCTAGCCATTCTGAGCAACAATCCAGACTTTACATATGTCATAGTGTCATGCATGAGTATAAACAAACACTACAATGTGTGGTGGTCAAAGCTTAAGGTCCAATAATATGACAAAGTAGTATGTCCCACCTGTACTCTATGAAACAGTATGTACTTTGTGA